GGTTTGTGGCTCTGGGCATAAACTCCAGCTTTTGTGATTAATTCTGGAGTTTGGTGCTGATTGTTTTTTGGATGTTAAAATTGGAAAACTCAAAAATACAGTGGTATATTTGGTACTAGTGGACAAATAACTTGTGTGAATGAAATGTAAGGTGTTATCAACACGTTGGTGGCGTTTTTACAAAACTCCTTGTTTGGTTCACCTGTTCACTTGCAAGTGGAGAAGTGTCACTAGTGCTGAGTGGTACCATTGTGGCAAAGATGAGATTGCTTTTGCAAAGTGGTGCTGAGGTCACAAGACAACTGGGTCGAGTCTTTGTCATTGGAAGCAGCTGCTCTGTGGTGACAGAAAGCCATATTAAAGATCCTCATTAGAGTTTCTGTGCAGCTGCTGTAGCTGTGTGCTGCCTCTGAAGCAAAGACAACAGGAACCCACTTGAATGCAGGTGATGAATGTAGAGCTGTAGTTGTGAGTTATTAAAGGCAGTTGAGAGCTGTCAGTTGAAAATCTTGCAATCTTGAACCGTTCCTGTCTTCCTGTATCAGATGGTAGTTTTTAAGTGGGTTTTTTTAGGGAAATGTTACACGTAGGGCAGAAGGAGATTTAAAGGGCCTCAGTGAATGTATTGACCTGGTTCATTTGTCCTGCTTTGAGTGACTGGTGGAGGCCTCTTGGATGATCAGAGTTCAGCAGCCAGGTTGTGTTTCTGCTGAAATGGTGGGTGGGCACTTTGCACAAGTTCTGTGCTTCCATTTCATAGCAGCTGCTGGAGCACATTTAAAGACGTGTTTTAAACCTCTAAATGTAACATTCCTTTGTATATTGTCCATGTTTATGCCAGTTTACGAATATAATTTTTTGTCATTTCCCCTTTTTGAAGGGGTCTTTTTGCATCATAATTTCAAATAAATTCCATCAACAAAGAAAGGACAATTCTGTTCATCACAGCTTTCCTTCTGTGCATCTGAGTAAATACCAGTGGAAGAGAAGAATTTAAAGGCTTGCACAGTGTACTGTCACTGGATAGGGCCACTCATTTTTGTGTATTTGAGGCTGTGTTTTAATATAAGTAGGTTCTGAGAGATCCCAGGAGAAGCAGTTTGCTCATACATGTCAGGAGGATAACTTTTATGGCTCATTTCACACAGTCCAAACTCACAGCAAAAAGGAAGTTCCTGAGTTGTTTCAGAGTTTTAGGTCTTAGTTTAATCTTCCAACCTTTGTTTAAGGTGTCTGTGATTAAAGTTTTGTTGATGTAGATTGCCAATAAGCATTTTCAGAGTCAGGGTTTTCCATTCGGGCCTTGCCCATACGGGGATAATTTTGGGATAGGGTAGAGAATTTGTTCCTAGAACTGTGTTACATTATTTGCCCTTCCCTCAGCTGATACCACCTCTCAGCAAAAAGTGTATTTTCTTTTATCTTGTGAAGGGCAGGTCAGTTTGCTGAAGTTCATTTCCACTTGATGCCTGCCTGATGGTTTTCAGAAAAATTAAAAAAAAAAAAAAAAGGCAGGGGGGGTTTGTGGTAATTTCTCAAGGGGTTTGTGTACAGGACTGGGCCTGAATTTCTTGGGTGGTTTGCACAGGTTCTTTGATAACACATCCCTGGTGATACTTGGAAGTTTGTTATGAAATGTCTTTTGTAGCATATGCTGTGATCTGTAATGCTTGCTTGGTTTTTTTTCCTTCAGGGATGGGACTTGTGTAATACTCATAGGCTAATGCTTGATTCTTAGGATTTCTTTATTGTCTTTTAATTTTAATTCCAGTGGTTTAATATCCCATTTTCCCTACAGATGTGTGGAGGACTTGATTTGCTGACTGTAAGCAAAATAACTGCTCTTGGTTGAAGGACTGGTAAGTTGTTCTTCCTAATAACATTTACTTTTTAGCTTTTAAAAACACCCAGTCAAGCAGACAAGGCTCTAATGTTTGTTAGAGGTAAATAAACCAAATCAAAATTTAGCAGCAAAATTTCTTGTCAGATTTATATAAAGTGCAGATAAGCAAATCTGGGTGCCTGGAGAGACCCCTGCTCCCCACAGGCCCAATACAAACAAACAGCAACTTTTATCCTTGTTCCGACTCCCCTCCCACAGTCATTTGTTGGCTCTTGGTTGGGCTTGGGTTCGCGGGCTTCCTTCTGGTTGGTTGGGTTGTAGGCCCATTTTGATTGCCAGGGACTTTCCATTCAATAGTTTTAATTAGCCCAATGTCCTTGGAGCTGAATATGGGAAGGGATCCAGATGATCCAGATGTTCTCCTTGGCTCTTCTTCATCATCTCCATTCTTGACCCTCTGATCCCTGTTCTTTTCTTCCTTTTCTAATGATGAACTCAGACAATATTTTTAGAAAAGCAGGAGATGGTGTACGTGCTCAGTAAAGCAGAATACTTTATCTTTGCCAACTTGGGAACTGCCAGTTGCAGGACAGTCAACTTATAATAATAACACAGCAGTTAACTCCTCTGCAGCTTACAACTCCCCAGTCCCAACCAACATTAGCTGGAATATACAGAAAATACACTCTATATATTTGGACGAGTAAATTTTACCATTGCTTACTTATTCCATGTTGAACTGGCTGCAGCTTCTGGTTGAATCCCTTCTGAAGGTGGTCGGTGCGTGGCCGTGTGCGCACGTGTGTTTCAGAAGGAGCCCGGGATCATTCCTGCCGGGCTCTGGGAAATGGGCAATGCTTGGATCGTGCTCTCCCCCTGTCTCACTGCAGAACAGCCTTCACACCTGGCTGGGGTTCTTTGGTCTCCTGGGATTTGACTCCGTGTTTCGTTGCGAGCTTTTCTGTCGTAGGTTTGCTGGTTCAGAAGGGTTGGGGCACAGGTGAGTCTCCAGAGAGGCACTGCACGCTTTGGGTAACAAATGGTGTGGAAAGTACAGCAGGAAGAACTTGCCTCCCGTGCATCTTGTTGTGTCCTTCTGCTTTTGTCAGGATCAGTGAGAGTCTTTGAGCAGACAGGGACTGTCTCCTGTCCTACAGTTGTTCTGTTGCTGTTTTTCATTCACAAAGGTCTGGCTTTGCACAAAATGATGTGTAATGCCAGGACAGTTTTCTGTTTGGTTGTTTTTTTTTTAAATTAAACTGCTAGCTGATAGACTTCAACTCATTGCTCATATAGTCAAACCACAAAATTGGCAGGCTTGAGTAGAAAAATGAATTCAGTTCTATACGGGATGAATACAGGGACGGAACCTTCTCCAGTTTCCTGAACTAAAAGGAATTTGGTCTTGACCTCTTGTTGTCCCTGGCACATTTTGTGACTTTCTTGGGAGCTGCCTGTGGCCAGACACAGGTCCTTTTGTCTTTCTGGCTGCTTAAAATTCCAAACCGCCTCGATTCTGCCTTTTTAATGAGGGCATCCATTGCATTTTGTGTACAGGGAGGAACTTTTTTTGTGGGAAGCTGTATTGCTGTAGCACTGTGCTTTGGAACAGATGCATTTCTTTAAAAGCAGCAGTTCCTTAGAGCCAGTTCTTTCAGTCTGAGACGATACCTGATGGAGCAAGGCCTTCCTTAGGCTGCACACAGCTTGGGAAGATGTTCGAGATGCAACTCCTCCTATTTCAGTGGGTAGGTGACAGTGACTTTTAGCTGTCCCGTGGCTGTGTGTGTCAGCAGAGCCCTCCAGCAGCCACTGCCGTCTGCGCGGCCTCAGGTGCTGAACAGCAGCCGCTCCAAAGTCCTGTGCCTCCTCCTCACCCCTCCATGGTGTGGAGACTGATGCAGAGCTCTGGGAGAAGGGAAAAGGAGCACGGAGGGGTGAGGTGCAAACCTTGCTAGGCCGTGTTAGTGTGGCCTTGTGCAGCCTCTGGGTCCATTGCATTTTGGACCAGTTTTATCACTGAGTTCAGTCCCGAAGCAAAAAAGTGGAATTCATGAATTGGAGGCATTCAGCTTTTAATGCGTGTCCATGAGCTTAGTGCTGATGCTTTTTGGCAAGTATTGAATCTCTTCTACTCCTGGGCTCTGTGAGTTTTATTACTTTGTTCCTTCAGAAGTCTTAAACTGTTTTCCCCGCTGCAGGTCTGTGTAGAACAGCAGATTTCTTGCCATGTTTCTCCTTCCAGCTCTTCCTCAAAACTCTTCCTGTGCCATCCACTGATGCCTTTCTAGCCCCCAATCATCTGCTCGAATCTCTAAAACACGTGACTCATGTTCCATTTTATATTCATCTTCATGTGACTCCTAAATCTTTCTGTGTGCACTTTTGTTTGTTTTCTCCCTGGGTTGTAAATGAGCTGTTGTCACATCTGGTTTCTTGAGTAGGACTTTGGCCTTTCAGTTACACACCAAGTAATTCTTCCCTCCTTTTCTGGTTATAATCCTTACCTAAAGGAAGGGGGTGAATGTGAAAGCCTTAATTTACTTAGTGAAACAGTTGTCTACAAAGGAAGTTGTTTCAAACACCAGTTGCAAAAGCATCCAAATGTGGCTCACAACACAGGGGGTGCAAGTGCTGTGCCGTGCCAGGGCCTGCCCCAGCAGTCCTGGCCCTGCCCTGTTCCGTGAGTCCTGGGTTCAGCTTCCCACAGGAGCTGGAAATGGCACAGGGGGAAGGCAGGGACACCCTGCACCTGCCCCATTCCAGGACAGAGGGAGCTCATCAGGTTTCCCTTTTCCCATCAGAGAGTCATCACAGGAGGACATTAATGCTTTCGCCGAGTTCAGAGAGAGACACAGGCACTGTGATTCCAGTGAGTGCCTTTGTCCAGGAGGCAGGCAGGAGGCAGAGGAGGAGGGGTAAGTTACCAAAGCTGCCCCCCAGGGCTCTGCAGGGCTTGAAGCAGAAGGACCCAGGGGAAGAGCTCAGCCAGATAATCCCACGCTTTGGACACTTTGTCCTCACCTCCATGAACCCGTTTGCTTCCCCAGGCCCTGGGAACTGCTCCTGTGCTCCTCCTGTGCTGCTGAGGGCACCCACAGACACTGCTCTGGCCTGAGGGACAGCATAACCAGCTGGGAATGTGATGGCTGTGCTGGTCTGGGCACAGGTAAGAGGCAAAGCACCCTGGTGACCCTGGGCCTGGTGCCCCTGGGCCTGGCAGTGGGTGCCCAGGGGGGGTCTGGCAGAGCCGCACTGCTCTGGCCTATCTTGTCCCAGGTCTGGAACGATCTTGTCCTTCCTTTTTCCCCTCACAGCCTCCCGAGATGACTCAGGGCTTGCTGGCACTGGAGATCATCAGCCGCAGCACCAGCACCCAGCTGCCATCTCCTGGATTTTCAACCCCACAGACCAACATCCCAATGGCGAAACCAGTCCCGCCAGCCAACGGGACTGGTTAATGCAGCCAGT